ACATGATAGTATGTAGTCATATAAATATTACATAAGTAAAATCATCAGTGTAATAGTAAATATCTAACAAATAAATGATTAAGCTTCTTTACACTAACAATTAAGATTAAACAAATGATATTACTCAAATTATAATCAGGTAATTAATTAATACCTTGTTATAGTTTACTTGATTCAAAGAAAAATTAATAATATGAGGTAATTATTTCTATTTCGAGTTTTCTCCTACTTATGAATCAAATAATTATTGATAAACATATATTTTTGTTATATCTTAATGAGTAGAAAAATTGCAGTTCTAATGTTTCGTAACTTAATGTAAGCCACTTCTTCAAAGTGAATTAAGTTAACCTTTATTTTCTTTCTTAAATAAATTGATTATAGAATAAATGAAAACAGTTAATTAGATACCTTTTTATTGTACTTAAATAAAAACAAGCTAGAAACAATTTATTTATTCAATGAAATGTTCAAACATACATTCATATATACAGAGATACACATTGTGTGTGTATGTTAGATTCATACACTGTGTGTTATGGCATCTTAATTGATTAAGTTTATTGATCCAATATGATTCACATTTTGGATTTTATTTGTTTACTCATAAACTGGCTCTTTTTTGTCATATATTGTTTATGAATAATGTATGTTGTTTTGTGGTCTGATAATCAAACTGAAAGGAGTTTTGCTTTAAATCATTATGATGTTTTTTTTTAAAAAACTAAGTACTTATTATAGATGATATAAATTTTACTGAATGTAATGACTTTTTATTGATAACTCTTGACATAATAATGAAAAGTATATAACAATAATCTGAATTCAATTGACCAATATTATCAACACATATATCAAGTTGATCGTGTTCACAGATCATGACTAATTTAATTTACATAATTGTGAAGAGGATATGCATGTTAAGGTTATGGTTTGTAAATTAACTGCTTTTGAGGTGCACATTTTAATGTAAAACATTCACACCGATTTATCGATTTTTATCTGACTGTAAAACCTCTTACGTATCAATAATTAGTAAATTCAGCTTTTCTATTTATTTATTAAATCTCTGTTTCATCAAGGAAGTCACTCGAACACCACTCTACATCTGATTATCAGTACTATCATAACAGTAGGTAGACCTTTGAAACGCTAGAACACTATTTACTTAGGCATACTTAAGTTTATTATTCACCATGTAGGGTTTCCTTAACATGAACATGTTCTAGTGTGATAATAACCAGCTTTTTTCAGTATTCATTAAGAGGTTCAAGACATAGAATTTTCTATCATTATCCTGTTCATTTACTGGATCGATACTTCACGGAAGAGTAATTCACTATGAATGTTTCATTTCAATCATCTAAAGTTATCTATATATGACTTTTATGAACACCCCACTGTATTGTATCTCAAATCTCCAAGTGAAAAAATAAGGCGAAAATTAGAGCGTGAAGTAAAATCCTCGGTGAAAATTATGCTTTTATATGCAGCATCTGCTTATCAAGTAAAACAAAACAGAAAGATGCCAGATGCCACTCATTTGATGAGCAATGAAGAACAGAAGCGCTATGAATCTACGTACACGTACCTACCCATATGGTTTATCCATATACCGTTTGAAATGATTTCATATTAAGAATAATTAGCCAATGCAAAAAATGTTTACTTCAAATACAATGAAAATCTTAGTGCATAATACATATTATTTCATAGATTCAAACACTGTTCTATCAACCTATCATCTGGTAGCCCGTATAATAAGCAAAAACCAACTGAAATCTTACGACTAATAAGCTTTAGCTGTCGTCGGTTATCACAGAAAAATAGATGAATTTGATTTTGTATAATGGTGTTATTTCCATGTTTTGATTTCGCATGCAAATATGTATTTAAATACATTAGATCTCATTTTTCAAATGAATTTTACCCTGTATTTCTGTTTACACTTACATTTGATGATTCTTCGTTGCTTATTTTTCTTATTTACATAACTTAATCATTTATGATGTTTAATACACACAGAAAAAACTATTCATGCGTTGAATATACACAAGTGTGTCTTTTTATAGGGACTTCATCAGGCGTTTGATTAACAAACAGGACTGAAAGAGGACGAATAAAATTTGTTCATTTTAATTTCTTATAGTTACAGAAGTTTCCTAACTGTTACCTGGTTTTATTGACACGAGAATCATTATCCTGTTCACTTTTCTGCAGTTTGTACAGGGAAGAATTAGATTAATTAGTAAAATGGGAACATTTGCGACTTAAAAAACAAATATTGCCTTCTTGTGAGTACTTTGATGTAATAAGTAAATATGTCTGCTAATAACGATTTTATTTTCTAATTCATTTTGACATTTTTACATCATTTCATGTTGAACAACATCAAATTGTAAAATAACACAAGACATGTAGCATTCCATTTGTGTGTTTTCTTACCATAAACGAGTTTTCTTGATCAGGACCAGTAAATTGAAATTGTTTGTATTTCATTTTATTTGACATTTTCTCTCGTAATGGATTGTTTTTTCATCAGTTTCTATTGTCATATGGATAAATGAAACAATGATAAACTTATGCCATAAAAATTTAGATTGTTATTCAGTTTATTCATTACATTCGGAAATAAATTGTGTTTCATTATTGTCGTTGCATAGTTGAACATGAAGTCCAGAAAAAAGTGGATCAGTAAATGTTGTAGGCTGTGCGGCGAATAAATTATAGGTGTATTTCTTGTTAAATGGAGGACTAAATGTGAATCAGTGGTAGTTTTTATTCTTGTTGGACGATGTGTATCTAAAATAAATACCATAAATGTAATTAAATATGAATATTTGACAATCTCCTCATTTCAGAGGATCAATCCAATCAAGCAAATTACACGATCAGTATAGGTTTATATAGGCATTAGAATTGACTTGAACGAGACTTGAAAATTACAAATTAATACTTACAGCAAATAAAGGAGAGTATGAAATGAAACTTATAAACAAAGAAGAACTATCACTCTTAGCTGACCCAACGATGCAGTTAGATTGTATTAATGAAATGTAGAATGCTTCCTTGTTAAAATTTTCAAATATTATTTATTTATAGTAACAACATGAATTTTCATTAGCCACCCAGTACAAACATATGAACCAAAAAAGCCGTAGTTGTTTTACTTTTCCCCAGGTCACTCACTGATCATTATTAACTTCTTCACAAATGATTCATTATTCAAGATAAAACTGTTAATTAACTACCTAGAATGGATAGAATATTGTTTGCAGTGTAAACGAAGATGTACATTTCACTCTATTTAAGACACATCAGATGGATGTACCTGTATTCCAGAGTTAATTTTCAAGCCAGGATTCTAACCTAGTATCTTTAACTTCTAACGACAACATGTTATCAACTTAACTACTGATTTCAGATAAACAATAACCTGTTCAACATTTATGGATTTTATTTAATATGTAGTGGGTTTTTTAATATTTCGACTGCATTTCTCTCACTCTTAGTTGGGATATGTGCATCTTGTGCGGACTGCCTCGATATAGCTATTATATACCGATTTTGTATGAAAGAGATTCAATCAAAATATCAACACTGAGATAACCCAAGCCATTTCAAATTCAATTTCAATGTTACTTAACTAGTTTGATAGGTCGATTAAGGCCTTCTAAAAAAGTTAAGTAAGGATTTGTTAAGAAACATCTAGTCTTAAGAAATGTCAATATACAACAGAATTAACGGTATTTTTTTCTGAAAATAATTTCAAATCATAAATTTTTTCAATGTAGTTGTATGTCGTTTATTTTTACTGAAGCTTTTTCAAAGAATCAGTAGGAATTAGGTCTATCACAGTGTGTCATACTCAGAATAGGAATTTCGGATCAACTCAGTCTATTAAGTGTAATAATTGTACTAAACAGTTTTCTTAAATAATCGTAAAAACATTGGAATTCTATAAAAATTAAAATTCTGTACAGATATGTAAATACTCAGTGTTTTGCAAAATGAATTTCTCAGCAGCTGTCATGTTGTTGTTAGTGATTAACGGAAGTTTCACATGAAACTCAAGAATTTAGAGGTTGATAAGAAAAATGAAGAAACCTATACATCTAGGTCAATGTTAGAGAATTTGACCCATGTCATTTGAAGTATTTTTAATAAAACTGAATACAAACGAATTTATTAGTTCGATATTAATGTTTGCGAGCTACATATTTCTATGTGCGTATCGGGATGTATATAAACATATATACCATTCGGTTTAGAGCCGATTACAAGACCAGTAGGTCATATGATAATAAACAAAGTAGATGCATTAGCCCACATACATTTAATTTCCTTCAATACAGGATATAGGGAGTTTTCCATACAATATTTTTAGTTGGTAAACATTTTTACATAATTAAAAATTATCAAAAAATAATCAGGTGTTTATTCAATTCCAAAGTGAAGCTTTTTTGCTTATTTGTTCGATGATAATTATCTTTGATCAGAATTCTTTGATTAAAATCATTTTCGTTATCATATTTACCCGACGATACATATCACACAATTTAGATAGTAGGTTTAGCCAGTATTATCAATCATTTATAATACTATCCGATTAACAGAGTTTTCTGCAAAGATCATTTGTGATAGTCCTATGAACTATTTACCTTAAAGAGCTGTCTGTATATTGAAATAAATCGAGAAATTAAGTCTCTCCACATTTATATGATTTTTTTTATACACAAAAATAATCTTTATTCACCGAATGCTTGGGTTGAAGTTGCTTTATCTTTGTCTAAACATTGCACTCATTGAAGATTATCTGAAGAAATATATTTTTTCCTCTGTTTGCCTAAAATGAAGCTCATTTTAATGGTTTTGCTGTCAAAACTTTAATTTTTAAATTCTTACAATGTTATCCAAGCAAAGCAACCTATTTTTACTACAGGATTTATTCAGATTTGTGTTCTTTCCCTCTTTTATATCTACCCTATATATGTACGTAGAGTTCCCATTCAAATACGAGTTATAGATCGTCATGGACCTGTTTTTGATAAACCTCACTATAATTTTAAAATTGGTCAAAGAAGTCCAATCGGTAGTATAGTTGGTCAAATCCAAGCTATTGAAGAAGTGAACCAACCAAGAGAGTATTCGAATACTGCCATTTGTAGTTATCGTCTTGAGCCTGTTGATAGTCCGTTTTCTATCAATAATTATGGTGAGTTCATTCTATCCATTTAATAAAAACAAGCGTAATTTTATTTTACATTAACTATAAAAAGCAAATGATCTTTATAACTACTGATTCATATTTTCCTAATTATTATGGAATGTTATATATGATGATGAAGACTATGAGTCAGAATTAGAACTCGACATAATATTGACTGAGTTGATTAAAAGGAAACAACTTTATGGTGAAAAGAATGACAAAGAAAAAAGCAGAAGTATGGACGAAACAATCTTTAACCAACTTTATTATATGTGTTGCTTCAGATTCTTTTACAGTCTGCTTTTCATTGATATACTTTTGCATTCCTAACTTTTTCTAATCTTTTGTTAAAAAAACTCAGCGCTTACATCACTAACTTTAAATTATATTCTAGCATTTAAAATGTACCCAAAGCCCTTGAGTACCATAATATAAAAGGCTATGGGAATACAAAGCAGCCACAGACAGTTGTCAGTATGAGTGGCTAAAGATCAAGGAGCACATCAGCACAGATATGATATCAAGAGGGTTTCACAAGCAAAATTTCAATAAATTTCTAACTAATTAACGTCATTTATGAATGAAACCAACATCTATTGAACCAATAACCAACGTTAACAGAATTAATTTATCAGTAAGATAATTATTAGTATCTATATTTCCTTATCAGTGGATTGTAATCAAAAGTGATCCGTTTATCTTTATACTGTGTACTGACCATAAATTTACATTTCATGGTTATGAATTGAATTTGGATTTGATGGGATTTATGCTTAAAAAAGCTTGTTTACAGACGTAATAGTGATACTAGTGTGAGTAATAATAACAGCAGTCAGTAAATTAAACTGTAACCCTAACCCTTTAAAATTTTGAAACTCCATAAAACACACTCTTTGGTACTACAATCTATTAACTATATTTTTGAACAGATCCTGTAGAGATTAATCTTCGTGCCTCTTTTCAGCAGATGATCTCAATGGAGTTCACTAATTTTTTCAAACGGTAGTGTTCATTGGATTTCAAGCACCATTTCCTAACATTTTAACACGAAATGTCACGTTCCTCTCGTTTTTTACGTAAGCAGTGATGAACATTTCATCTTTTTCGTCAGCTTGAGTTAATATTCGACAGTCGAACCTGATGTAAAAAAAATAGCTATCTCTAAACTTTATCAACCCATGTGCAAATTTCAATTTTTAGCTAATATTTAAACCCACAAAACGACTATCATCTAGAAATAAATTTATTCAATCTACAGATGGCTTTCTGTGTGAGCTTATTATATTAAGAAACCGATAAAAACAAATAGGCACTGAGCTATTGTTTAAAACTTTACAGCAATAAGCAACCAAAAACCAAACCAGGAATAATAACTCTAAACCAATAGTTAGTATAGTATGCACCATACAATTGTATATTGATTCATATTTGGTTCGTTAAGTTGTCAATAACAATAAAGCTTCCAGTTATTTTACATACTGAAGGTATATTAAACATTAGCGAACTTCATATTGTTGTCAAGATTATTAGTTGTACAACAGTTTCACTCATTATATTATTGCAATTTGAAGTAGTTTGGATTTTCCCGTTGTTGATATTTTTGACTGTAATATAATTAGTCCTGGCTGGTATATGAGCGTCCTATGTGGAGTGCCTCAATTTAACCACTGGATACACATATGCCAACCAAGATCAATCACATTTCAGTCAAAAATATCAACAACGGAGTAATCTAAACCATTTCAAATAGAATTTTAATATCATACCAGTTACAAATATGAGTGGCTATCTGGACTTAGTAGTTAAGTGGATAATGCGGTGGCGTTTGAAATAAATAGTATTTGTTTTCTGTCCCAGAGTAGACATCAATTCTGAGATGCAGGTCCATCCAGCTAAAGAGTCCTAAATAAGGGGAAACGCGCAAGCTATATTACACTAATAGCTATATTTCATCTAATCTACGCTATAGTTATGGTTATATTTAACTTTCATTATTTAGTATCTACTATTCTCCTCTAGTTTACTACCTTTTATTTCTTCAAGGCAATTAAATTCTAACAATCAAATACTTAAAAAACAAAAGTCTTTTTAACAAGTCTAAAATTAGATTCTTATTTCATAGTCTTTTTTGTCTGTATCATAAACACCGCTACTTTTAATTTCTTACTGAACAATTAAACAAACTTAACAAAACATAAAAATGATTACAAAACATATTCCGGATGTAATTAAAAAATTTACATATAAGATAAAAAATTAATTAAACCTTGAAAATGGTTAAATATATATCTATATATATACACTTAAACAAGCAGCTTGAAATAGATTCTATGCTGTACATTTTCTATTGTTTTTCTATCTTTTGAAGGAGAGTAGAATAGTTTTTCTTTTTCAAGAATTGTTATCTATGAAAATGACAGATTTTTTGGATGTGCGAAGCTCATTTCTAATATCGATTTTCATTATGATTTATTGTTGCTTTTCTTTAAACGCATTATTAAGGAGACACTCCTCCCTAATTTATGCTTAACTGGTCACCTTCTAAATGGAAACACTGAATAAATGATTTGGTAATTTATTTTCAGCTTCTGCTCTATTGATGCTTTTTCTTAACATTCAGTTTAGTTTTTTAAGTACTCACTTTTTATCCATACATTCCCGAGAATATATATATTTATGCATCCTTTTTCACCCATTTATTATATTAATTTACTCGATAGTTTAACAGGACATAATGCAAATAGCAAATAACGGTAGATTCTTATCATGACAAACCCTGTGTTACTGATCTTCATTGAATGATACATTCCATTAGTTCTATAAAGTTTATAATTATTTATCATGTTTTTATGGATGATACTTTTGACAATTCATGTAATAACGCTGTATAGTATATTTTAACATTTAGATGTTGTTTGTAAGGAATCAATAGTTAAAAATTATGAATGGACTTTTTTTAAAACGAAGTTTTCGACATGAATATCAATAGAAATTTATTAAATAGAAAGTTATTTCACCGAATGAACAGTTTAATATTTATAAACATTCTTTCATACTCTTACTATGCACTTTCGTTAGTCTAAGTGTAAGGTGGTCATTGAGAGTAGTCAACGGGAATCCTTGGACCTAGGTTTGAACGATTGAACTCAATCTACACTGAGAAGGACGTGACATACATGATATTGTGATTGTTAGAGCATCAATCAATTGTAAATATATCTCAGTTATATAGGAGGTCAGTCGAGAGTAAGTAGCTCATTGATAACGTTTCTGACTGTAACTGAGTAGCATGGCGTCGAATAAACTATGGATGGTCAGTTCCCTCAAGATTACAGGTTTACGTTGATGATGAATGCCAAACAGCATCCAACTTTAGTCCAGGTTTTCCCGTCTATTACTTCTAGCCACCTAGCCTCTCAACATGGTGAACACAATGTCAGGTTGTTTAGACTACCGACCAGGCTACAACCTGAATGACAGAATTCAATGAGCATTAAGAGGGAGTCGATATATGAATGACAATTATCATCGCTAAGTGATCAACTAGCTGTAAACTATAACTAGTTAGCTCTTCGTTACTTGAAAGCATATGTTAATAAAGTGTTTTCAAATAAAAGATCTTAGGCTAAAGTCCCCCCTCCCAACGATTAATTTTGCAAACAAACTTTGATTTCTACTGCTGAAAAAACATTGATTTCTATCATCTTTTAGAGATATCATTGTAGAGATGGAATATAAGATAACATTTAAGAAGTGGCATACTATATCTTTTATGTTTTCGCATATCTATGACATCTATGATAAGTTTTATAACATATTCAACAATGATTTACACTACAAGTTAAAACAATTAAACAGGTGTCCTAATGTATTCATTAGTACTAAAATTTGACCAACTAAGTTCATGAAATTGTCAACTTCAGTATGACTAAATACGTTTAACGGAAATTGTTGTATTTCGTAATATATCTCATAAATAACTATATGAACAACCATTAGTAACCAGGGATCACTTTAGTATTAGTTGAGTTAAGTTGAGAAATAATGCAGTATGTTTGTAGAAGGGAATTTAAAAGTTTTTACATTACAATTGATTGATCACTGGGTGGTGATCAATGTCATGCTTGTCTAGTCCTTATTAGTGCAGATCGAATGCTATCGATCATGTTGCAATGTGGCCACCAGTCTAGGTGACTCGACACTGCGGGCACTATGTATTGAGATTTAGATGGTGGTTGGAGGTAGTCAACAGGAAACCCTGGACCCAAGTAGCACGAAACCCCGGTTCAGGGTTTCTTGTTGACTACCTCCAACCACCATCTAAGTGTTTACATTGTCATACTACGCATAAAAATTCATTTCTGTCAATAAAATATTTCATTTCAGTTAGTCTAAAAATTATTCCATATAAACAATTTTCTAATGAGTAGTATATTTATTGTAAATATTCAAAATCAGATTATTTTGACAGTAATTTGTTAATAAAATATTTGAAATTTACTTTCAGAATAATAGGAAACTTCGAATAAATTGGAATGATGTAAAAATACCTTGGGAATCTTATCCATTTATGGAACTTATCTGATTGTAAATTGTTATATACGTTCTGTTTTAAAATACTCATATTGATACCACAATGATAACAACAATATAACTTACCTAACATAAATTCATTTAATTTATATTGAATTACATTGTCTGTATATAAGCTTGTAATATCAGACCACTTTCACAAGCTAATCTCAGTAGACCGAGATTCAAACTGCAACCTAATATTTGACTCTCAAGGGCCAGTAGTAGGGATACTACAAATGACAATGAGCATATTGTTGTATGAAAATGTAATAGATACTAATTTTATATCATATCATACCTACACTTTTGACATTATACTTTTTAGGTGTTATACGTGTACGTGAAGCACTTTTATCTCTTGCACAAAGACCTTATTCACTACAAGTTATTGCCGAGGATTGTAGTCGTCCAGTACCACATAGAGCATCAGTCAGTGTAACAATTGAACAAATTCTTCTTGATTGCAAACCAGGCTGGAAAAGTAAGTTATTTTGTTCTTATGTTATACATTTGTCGGTATTCGTTATGGTCATTATCATGTTTTCAGTTGACTTGAAGTTAAATAATGCCTTCATATAATTAAATTTCGTATTATAGACTGCTGTGTTTCTCTGTATATTTTTATCTTCTTGTAGAAATTCGTTATAAAAATAGCTTTAGTTATCTAAAACTAGTTTTTCTTTACTTATCTCTATGTCTTGTTTTTTTTAAAGCTTTTACTAAATAAACTGGCTACATTGAAAATGTTAATCCTGATTAATTCAGACATTACGCATCCTTTAGTTATTGAATTATACAACCATTAGAGTTACAACTGAAATGTTATCATTAAATATATATTCAGTATTTCTATTATGTCAACAGACTATACTTCAGAAGTGATTAGTAAACTTAGCAAGATATGAATAATCTATACTAACCACCTACCTTTATCGTCATCTTAAATTTGACAACAAAATACTTTTACATTATTACAAATAAACTTTTGACAAACGATAGTAACATGTTGCAAATCAATCCTATTTAAAATTGTAGAAATTCAAACTGAATCTGAACTTTATAGCCATTTACAATTTATACTGTACGCAAAACAAAATAAGAACTCTACTAAAAATAATACCTAAAGTATATACTACTTGGATTAAAGACAACTATGATATAACACTCCTAAAAAAATAAAACATTAAATAATAGATTTGCTTATGTTATATATTCTACTAATATCTACTTAAAGCTTCAATTCTTTCTCTCCGATAAGAACTTTTTTTATAACTGAAATAAAGGTCATTCACTATTCCATTGGCAAGCTTACTTTAGGCTGATTAAATATTGGTCTGATATTTCATAATTTAAATTTAAGATAATTATTTTATGTTCACAGTAGAATGTGTTCATTAAATTTGTAGATAAATAATAAAAAGAACAGTGGGTGAAAATATAATTTATGGATGACCTTTGAGAGATGCTAAAGTGACCTTGAGAGTGTTCACCTAATAACCAGGACCAAATGAGGGTTATAAACCAGCTTGAAGAATTAGTTATGATTTACAGTTGATAGTTAGGGTTAGGAATTAGATTTAGGGTTTTATATCTAGAGCTTATATTCTTGATATACCGCGTATAACTTGAGCACTAAAACACTAAAACCTTTCCAAGTCTCAATGAGAAGATCGAAGACTACTGAAGGGAATGTTATTCCAGACAGTGCCAAATTACACTACAAAACTGTCAGGTATTTATAGATTTTAGTAAGAAACGAAATCATCATTATAGCTATTCGATTCGCACACAGGGGGTTATTAGCATTGTGCAATCGGGAAGCTACACGTAGAGAGTCTATAATATTCTTTCAAAAGATGATTGAATGGAATATCTTCGGCTCTTTCTGAGCTTTTTACAGCTTCCTCGGGTTCACCTATGGACCGTCCTCACACACTACGAACTGAGATCAGCTATAACACGAAAACTCCGTTTATTCAAATGGATGAGCGAATTTCGCGCCAAAATCCGAGACCTGTTATCTTAAATCTGATTGGTTCGTCCATAAATTATAGTCTCGCCGAACAGTGAATTCTTAATAAAGTTTTGTAGTTTCCTGTTGTTGTTATTCAAGACTACAATTCATAAGTCTATGTTTTTATATTTTCATTTATATTGGGTTATCCCTATGCAGCCTTTAATCACAATTCTCAGTTTATTTGGTATTTGGTTATTAATGTTAATATGGCTGACCGGTTTCATCCTTGAATGTTAGTAACAGGAAATTACAAACTCTTACCAACACCTTCATTCCCATTAAATAAGTTATTGTCTACCGAAACTCTTGAGTTGAAAACTAATAGGTTTGAGTCCTATTGTGAATATCAACAGTAAATTGCAATCATAATCCATTGATAAATCTTGAATAGGATGGAACACACATCTTAAATTTAATTGATAGCCACATCGTAAATACATTGAAAATAGTACTGAGTAGTTTTTTTTGTTACGAAACCTGATATTTATGAATATGTGCATGCACAACTACCTTTTTTTATAGATCGTACTGTTAATGAGTAATTTTTGTTGGGATAATAAATTCTGAGTAATAAACATTGAACTTTCAACATTTGAAAGGAATATTACGTAATGAAATGGATAATTTAGAGTATGGGAAGACAACATAAAACAGATAAATAAATGACATTTATTAAATGTAAAAAAAATTTCTAGGGCACTAAAACTGATAGATGTGGTATTAACTTCTGTCAGACTGATAAGATTGTCATCTATTAGGTAATAGAAAGACACAATCATTACTAATTCTAGTAAGGTCATTAATCTACATACGTTCTTTTCTAGATATTAAAGTAATCTTATAGGTTATACAAAGCATATTTGATCACATTTATCAACTAAGGTACCAACATTTGTTAAACAAACTGAAATTTTAGTAAAATTTGTTTGACTAAATCAGTTTGTATCAGGAATATTAGTTGTACACATAATACGACAGAATAATACAGTAATTTATCTAAACAAATGAGAAGTTACCCATAATGATATCTGAGATAGAACAACTAAGTTTGTCCAATATTTTCAGATTAAACCACAATTCATCAGTTAAATTCGTTTGAAATTCATTTAACTATAGACTTGGAATTCACTTTAGTTATATTGCATTCAAACTTGCATATTTATCAGGAAGAGCTGACGGTTGTTAGTTTAATCCTATATGTTATTATTTCTGCTTATAACAAAGGAATTCTATACTAATATGAAACAACTGTCGAATTGCGCTTGTTTCTCATTTGTTCTCCAGATGACGTCATACACTGAAATCCACTTTTGTATTGTAGAATATCACAACAACATTACTTTATTAAATGATATTTCATTTGTAAATATTCTATTAACAACATCTTATGATATAAAAATTAATTTATGTTATCTAAATTACAATGTAATTAAAAATCATAACATTCGTTATTATGGAAACATTGTTTTGTCTCTATGCATGATGTGATAAAATGCACATTGATTTTCTATAGGTGATTAATCATGTGTTCGAAATAATTTTACACTAAACTATTAAATTTTCAGCATTTTTCTTACAGTAGGATAAAAATGAAAAGAAAACATTTTTGTATTTATTAACGAAGTGTATATATATAAAACTTCTATTCTCTATCCCATTGATGTTTGCGGATAAATTAAACTTTAGTCATGCAATAATTTTACGTTTCACTAACTTAATTGTATAATTTTTTTTAGTGTCATAAAATTATTTTTACTACAATTTAGAAAAATTCTTATCTTTTGATTATGAATGTCTACTTATAATTGTTTGTTTAAAACACAGTAACCAGTTTACATGGATTATGTGTATAGAACACGCTATTGACTACTGTAGTGTCGGTTATTATGTTAAGCTCATATACCTTATTCTGGCTTTCGAACAGCCCATTCTATTCATTCCACTTGAGTCACATTCTGACCTTGTTATTTATTCGCTTATCAATCTTGACTGTTTTTATATGAGAGCGTAGGTGTGTGCACATTTCTTATCCTATTACTCATCACATGTCTGTAACTTACTTTTGTGTAACTATAACTATTGATTAACGCTTGGTTGAATGGGTGTTGGCTTACCAGCCATCTCCACTCTGCGTTGTTCTTCTTCTCTCTATTCCATTCGCTTTATATAAGAAATACATGTGTTCACAAATCCATTCTCGTTATTCGACTTATTCAATTCTGTTATTGACTAACGTAGTTTAAGTCGATGATTATATGCGAGAACAGGCGACATATATATTTCAATAACAAACATTCATTACGATCTTCTTGAAGTCAGATCCACGAGCCACTAAACTACTCATATACTTTTAGTATTATATATCGTTATCATATCTTTGTGTTTCTATCCCAAACTTTTTCAGAGAAAAAGTTTTTTTAATTTTTAACGATGAGTTTTATGAAAAAGGGTTAATTAAATGGTTCAAACCATAAACTGAAGTTTATTAAAAAATCATATGAAAAACCATGTGATGAACTGAAAATCTGTTTTTTTCTCTTATTCTTAGTTCAGGATTGGTTGACAAAACCAACTCACAACAAAATATGTTTAAATTCTTTTGTCACGGTAACATTTGTAATAACTCATCAGATTAAATTTAAGATAATAATTAATACAGACATTCGCACACTTTTATTTACAATGTTCAAATAAGATTATGTACAACAAATTAATTCAGAGCATATTAGCCATACATACTATAAATATATGTATTACTTCTTAAAAGAATCTCAGAAAAATAGGGTGCAGTAAAAGACTCGCTTTACTAAAAGCAAATATTGATGAGTGACAAGCAAATGTCTTATTTAATGAATCCGCTTCTTTATAAAGAAGTAGTTAAATTATCTCCGATACTATAATCTTGTGTTAATCAGTAACTTACTACAAGTTCAACTCTTGAAGTTCTAGTGAGTCACTCTGATTTCACTCATTCCGGGAGTGAAACAGTCATTTTGAATGGCATCAGATCGTCAAGTGTTTCACGTCGAATTATGAATCTTCGTATGTTGATCAAATGTTTTATTGAGTGATAACTTATTGAGAAACTTGAAGGTCCTGAAGTGTCATATGAGGACAATGCTAGAGAGTTTCATACTAGAGAAAAGCAGCTATACAGTGTCTCTTGGATTTCGGTGGTATCCCAACTGTGGTCAATCTATGATGAATATCATCCGCAACCTAAATGAATCTCAGAAGATTCTCTTCATAAGTGACTTGAAGCCATACTTAGGTAAATTCACTTCTGTCTAGCTTGATTAGATCAATACTTAATCGGTAATTTACATTATTTTTACCTCCACTTTGATTATACTTGGTTTTACTACTCATATCGTTATTTCATGACCCTACTTGAAAGATTATCTTCATTTTCTGTTAGAGAATGATCGCTAACGCTATATATATATATATATATATATATATATATATATACTGGTTGCATTTTATTATTCATGAACCTATGTATATGCATATGCTTAAGGTATATGTATGATAGAAATAGTTTACGAGACATGAAAAGAATAGTTGTACACAAATAATAGCTCCATTGATCTATTTTGTAAGCCTTCTGGTTATTCTCATCATAACTTACAAGGTTATACCAATGTGGTTTTTTAAACTGTGAGCCATCCATTTGTTTTGTTATACTTATCAGTTTTAATTTCTGACACTTTATACAGGTCAACTTTATCAGTTGATGAAGTCTGAAGTTTTGAAATACCAATAACGTCTTTTTATATTCACGTTTACACTAACCATTTTCAATAAGTTATTATTAGAATAAATTAAAATATCTTATCATAGAATGACCTTGGTCAAGCGACCAATGAGAACTAAGAATTACTAAACAAATATTTTATCCTATTATGAGATGCTTACTTCTAAGGAGCTTAATATTAGGATGGAACAACTGTTCTGTGCCTTCTCGTTTTTTAGTAATTGTTTAACTGAAGTTAATCAGTAATGTAAACTATGAAACTCAATAATCTATACAAGCCTCTTTTGGTAATAAATATGAATGATTAATCTGATTCAACTTTTAAATGTGCTTGATTTATCCTTCTACTGTTGTAAAAATTAACTGTAACGCTCGACTTTTTGCACTAATCTTTCTGTGTAGTAAGTGAGCTTAAATAAATTCAAAATTCAGATACCACCGTATGTATGTATCATTATCCTTTGAATATTCGTTCAATAATCAATAATTACTTATTCTGATATTTCAATGAAACAGCACTTTACGTACTCATATTGTAAAACTGAATGCACAAATTTTTCATACAATAACAACATTATTCAGTAAGAATACTGGTGCGGCAATGTGTTACCACGAGATTCTGATGCACTCAACTTGGTGTGAATTGATATTTTTCTAAAACTGAATCATTTCAACTATATATTATGAATGGGTCAGTAATGTAAAATTTCCCCTATTTGGTGTAGGCATTGATTTACATTGAGTGCAAACTATACAATCCAATTCTAGGGTTTTCCGATTGATTGTGCCATAATGGAAAAAAATTAATTGATTCTTAAAGTACAAAATTCATTTTATGTTCAGTGGTACCTAGGCGAGATTGCATATCAGTAGGTCATATAACCAGTAAGTTATAATAGCGTTTCTCTTTATTTATGCTTCTAATCAGCATCCAGTGAAAAGTTTACAGAAATTCTTATCAAATGATCAGTTTATTCGCTACCGGAATCCTCTAGAATGTCATGGCCACCCATAAACCCGTAAGATACCTTGATGTCTCTGTATAAACTAACCTTGGAATCAGAGTTTCTGTTCATACTTCCTTATATATTTTGAGTGACTCAAGTCTGGAGAATTCTGAGTGAATAAAAAGCTCTCAAGAAGTCATTATTACGCGTTCTAGTGGTGGACATGTGATTATCGAGACAACATTCGATTCAGTAATCAATCAGTAACATAGAAGATAAAAAGCTGTGACATATTTTACTAAAATAAATCTTTTTTGAATTAAACTGATGGGTACCTTAACTAGTCAAGAGAATAATTTTGAATATTAAATACAGTATAGAGCTAGTCTTTGTTCCAAAAATTATTACTCATAGTCAAGGTAAACCAGGTGATGGCATATTATTTTGATTATAGAGATCAAAACTATTATGGGTGTGCAATCTATATCTCTCATTTGAACTTTATTGGTCTCAGATGGGTTTATAAAATGTTATATAGTTTGTGAAATACATCATATTATTACAAATTAATTGGTATCTGCATAAGTAATTAGTAAGAAGTTCCTATTAATTTCATTGTATATACTGAATCCTAATCAGAACTTTAAAGACGTAATGTGTTCAATAAAATCTATTCTGTAAACTACATTTTCCATTGTTTTTGATGAATAGATTTACCAAGTGATATTGAATTTCTTGGATCTGAAGAAAAACCTGAACGTTTATTTATGCATTCGAGTTTACACCTGGAGACATGTACTGGTCCATGTGCTAATCCATTTATAGAAGCTCGGTTGGAACTTAGATCGCCTGTAATCGGTCAGAATCTCGTTACAGCTAATCCACAATCCTGTCGACATGAACCAACAAGTATAAAAAGACAGCAGAAATTTTGCGGTAAATTCCTTTATAACACTATGCGGAGTTTAAATATATTGTTTAAATGATACAAATGACTTTAATCAGATATTCTGTAATAAAATTTTGATCTAATTCTTCATCCTCGTTGAATAATTTGGTTATGGACCTATGATGATCATTTAATTTTATATTTATAAAAATTTTATATCCTATCTTACCAGTTCGCATTTATTCCTAAGGCAACAATTGAATAATGTGACCATGGATCATAATTAATTGAACATCGTTTGGTAACAGAAACATTACAACATAAATAATTCAAACTACTTTGCAATTTGGATCAAAATAGTTCATAAAACTTACAATTATACTTTTAAATTTTTTAGATTACAAGATATATTTTTCTCTAGATTTTATTTATTGTTGATTGAGTAAAAGATATTTGGTAAATGAGTCATGTACTATCATATTATCAAGTCATATGGCGTCGTTGACAGGATAATTTGTAAAAATTTCTTTCTAATAATACCAATAGAAGCTAGATATATAGAACGTTAGTTTATTGATTTAGATTTTATTTTCAAACCATTAGTTCATAGGTTGAAATCTGGCTCCGCCTACTTCAAATTGATAACTCAAGTAGGATCGTTAATCTTATCACAAACAGTGTTTCTGGAAACCAAATAGTTAACCCCTCATTTGATAAGATGATTTACATAATATCATTATATATTCACTATTCTATCGTTTGAAAGCTAGCTTTATATTCGCGTCTACATTAGATTGACTTAGAGAGATCGATTTTTTTATAGTAGATTAGTTTTGACCAGCTAATCACGATTTGCAGTAGACTGAAATGTATATAATTATACAACTTTATAAAACTTACAAAATTCGACTAATTCGTCTGGAAATAAAAAGCATCCATACTGAAGTTTTTGCTTTACGTGAAATAGTTGAGGATGTTTAGTTCCTTAGAACAAAAGCCTGGAAGTTACACTTATGGTTTATAGTTCTGTATCATACTATCAAATATTCAGTCTTTCAGACTTTCGCTCAATTCTTTCCTTCTTTTTTAAATTTTTTGTTAAATTTCAAATCTTTAGCTCGATTTCAATTCATAGAATCTGTTTAATAACGGGAATAATGGTTATCATTTAGAAATGTTGCATCCATTTCTGTGTTTACGACCGACGATTATAAATATAAATCTTTATAAAAAAACACTTCATGACATTTAAATAAATTTGTAAATAATGATTACTTATAGTGAAATTCAGTAAGTATAATTTTACAGTTTAAACTTTCTCTTTGGACCGAACTCGTCTATGAAAATATATAAATATATTACATTTAGGTCTCGATCCAACAACCATTACAAATCTCCTTCCTGATCCTGAGTATGATTTAGTGAACCAGTTGATTGGACCAGTGCTGAATAGTCCACCACGTTTAATTCCATCAGTGCTTGCTTGGCGATTTGATCCAACTTTATCGACTGTATGGGAGATTGATGCAGATCGATTGTTCAATAATACAAGATTACCAATTAAGTGGGATTCAGATTTTACCATATCATTTTGGCTTAGACGACATCATTTTCAAAACAATTTGAGAGCATCAAATAATGACGAGAATGAAGAATCAATACTTTGTAGCCATGATAACATTGGTTAGTGAATATAAAATAATCACTTTGTATGGTTGTCTAATCTTTAGATGTGATTCCAAATGTAATTTTATGACTTACCAAATTGAGTTAAAATAGAAACTGTGATCATTTTATTTGCAAATGATTATTAATTAATACACAAATGGGATAGAAAAGAGAAGACATAACTATCAGGTGTGAATTGATTCGTTTACTGGAATTTGTTGTAAAGATATTTATTTTGCTTGGAAATATTTCCAATCATAAACTAAAACTGGCAGTAGAACCATATCTAACCAGTTAATTAATTTATACTATTTTGAGATTCGTTGGTGGTGTGCACTAATGATTTGATTTAGAATCAGTCGTAGGATCTTTAAATCTATTAAGGATCATGATACTAATGAAATAATCAGTCATGACAAGTGGATGCAATCATGTTGAAAGCTACGCAGATATTAACGATGACATTGAACAGTGGTTGTGTTGTATCGCTAATAGTCCGAAGTTCGAAGTATGGACTACCAAATTCTGGCTCAGTGATGTAATGATCTGTGTGTAGCTTAAAATTTGAAAGTCATGAGATAGATCTCAATCAAGATCCTGAGTCCTAACCTCTGGAAAGCCCAAAATTACGACAAATTCTTTACTCATTTTTACCTAGTTAACACAAATTCTCTTGCTGATACTAGTTTGCCAAGAAAATCACATTCAAAATACACATTGATTCGGTCAATTTTACTTACCTATTCTTTGTCTCATAATTCATTGATAGGGAATAGTTCTCTTGAAAATGTGCTTGTTGTGTTCAGACGAAAGTGCCATTAGAAGTAGGAGGCACTTTTTGTTGGTCAACTTATCAATAACACCTTAAACATACTAAATAAAAGAGTACTTGTGTGTTCGCATTTTTCTTTTATGATATCGCAAGATAAGTAACGCTGTTCTTAAGATTCAGATCTAGTTTCATAGAGGCATTATTACTATGCTTTTTGGACTACAATCTGCATTCTCTGAGACCTAAATATTCACACTAATCGATCCCTTAACGGTAGCCAACGTCGAACTTTCTGAACTTTACTGAATTTATATTAGTCAAATTTGAAGCAGCTACCAAGTTGTATGATTGTACCACTAAGTGACACATGATTAAACTCTGAAAGGAATACCAGTTCTGTTGAAACTATAGATACTTTTCACTGATTAGCGCTAACTGGTCATAAATTCGTATTCATGGGTTTCTATCAACTGCTTTCAAGTACATAATATTTAAGAAAGCGAATCTTGATTTCAAGTTACTTCATAGAATGGAAAAACTGAAAGTAGATCACTAGCTTTCTATCAACACAGAATATTGACTGGTATTAAATAACTAATTTATATACATTTATATGCGAATTTATCTTGTGTTTAATGATATGTTCATATATATTCTCCTGAAAAGAGCGTGTCAAATTACCACTGGACACTCAAATAAGCATTACTTTTCAAATCTATTTCAAATAATAAAGCCAATTTATACACATATCTGACAAAAAAAAATAAGAATCATTTATTCTGTCTGATATGTAACAGATGAACTTTCAAACCGTTCAATACTAAACCAGTCTCATACATATCATGAACACAGACATTATTTTGTTAACTGTTCAAGTGAACATACTTTTTACAGTATTTTAGATTTATCATTGTCTTAAGCAATCTCAATCAGATATGAAATTGTGATTTTTAAGCTAGAAAATCCTAAGATATCTTTCTTTATATATCAGCTTTAATTTTCGAAATATAATTTAATTTATTTAAACCTGAGAAATTTGTTTATTCAAAAGTAAAAAAGATTTGGAATTAATAACACGATTCATTTATTACTGTGTGGTCTTTAGTTTTATTCTCAAATGTATGAAGGTATATTATGTTGATTAGTAATGAAAAAGATTGAATTGATTTTATTCATTAACAATTGTTTCTCACTTAACAGTTCTATAGTTGTTACTGTCAAAAGTAAAAATGATTAAAAAGTGTTATTCTATCTGTATCACTTTAAATGATAAATGTATCTAGTGGATTAGTTTACTTTTTCACTTGATGTTAAGTTGAGTTGATAGAATAATTTACGGATATAGCATAAACTGAGTTAATATAGACTACGTTTTTTTTTGTGTTAAAGAATCCGAATGGAGGTATTTGTCGATCAATTTACATGGATGTCGATTTATAGTAAGGATTATGTCGTCCACAAGTAGTGAACTGAAAAAATCTACACTTTTTATATTCGATCCGTTACCAGAAGAGATTTGTTCTCATACTACCGGTCATGATGATGGAATATGGCATCATTATGCAATCACATTCAGTTCATCGTCATCATCTGCAATAAACAACGATCCGATTACCATTTTAATAGATGGACAAGATTTGGATATTAAGGCCATGCCTACTGTTTATGAATCATTACAAACCGCTTCAAATCCTTTCAGCTATAAAGGAAAACCGAGGTATGTTTTAAATGAAATCTAAGTCTCATAACTTAAAATTTATTTCAACCGTTAAACATGTTAAATTCGCTTGGTATTGTTTGATTGAATTTTCCTAATGATATTTAGGACTACAATTGATCAGTCTCTTATTGGCACATGTGCATACTGTGTGTATTGCCTTGATATTACCTTAATTCACAAGTAATATAAGCAAAGATGGAAAGTGGCTAGTAGTGGAATCCAGGACGCGCGTCTCGTCCAATTTGGGACTCATAGGCTGGATGTACCTGCAGCTCGGAGTTGATGTTCACTCTGTGACTCGCACAAGTAAGTGGCTCTCAGGACTTAGTAGCCAAGTAGGTGACGCAATGGCGTTTGAAGTGAACACTTTTTGCCCGAGTCATGGAGTGAACATCAACTCCGAGATTCAGGTACATCCAACGGACGAGTCCTAAATAGGAAAAAACGCGCACCCTAGATTCCACTGCTAGGCAATATCCATCTTCGTTCGTCATGTTAATTTATAAGAAGTATTAAAAGTAGAGAAAAGAATAAAATTTGAGTTGTATGTAATAAATAAACGGGAATAACTTCAGTCTTCAGAAGCTAAAAGTAAAGCATTATGAACAGATATGGATGGTGGATAGCAGTGGAATTCAAGACATTTTGGACCTATAGGCTGGGTGTAGCTACATTCCAAAGTTGATATCCACTCCGGGACTCAAATCCCTTTAAACCCGATCACATTATCCACTTAGCCACTGAATCCGGATAAACAGCGGCTTGTACTATCAGTATGTATGAATTAACAGGATAGTGGTTTCAGTAACTCAAAACTGATCACTTTTCTACTGTACATATAAAGATCAACTATTAGCCATTTCGGTTATTTCTTCAATAATATTTTGTTATCATACGTTGAAGCATGGTTTTAAAATAACTAATCAAGTAACGTGATATTTTGAAGAGCTACCAATAAATAGTAATATCAATAAATTCACTTGATAAATCCACTAAAATGAACAAAATCATCGTAGATCTAACAAAGCTATCACCTTTTATCTCTGAAACCGCATTTAGCTTTTCCAAATAACTGATTTTCGTTTTTTATATTTATACGAGACTACTCAGTTTTTCTCAGTTAAAGAAAACATAATTTATATGCAGCAGTAGTCTTGGTAACATATAACCTATTAGTATATGACTCCATTTTTTCACATTAAAATAGGTTGAAGTCAGCATTTGTAACCTTCTTTATATGTATAAAGATTTCTTGTTAACAGATGAGAATATGATAGAGATAAATGGGAGTGAAAATTGCAAATTAAGAAGTGGTCTTTTTGCAGATTTGAAATATACGCTAAAAGTATTACTTTCTATGAATTTTCGACATCTTACTAAACACTTTTTTGCATCTTTTTTGTATATCTCAGTACATTTCACAGATAATCGGGTTACTGAAAGTCTGTCCTTACTTATTTTACTACCTCTTAAGTCTTGTTACATTACTTACAAGCTTTGAGAAAAATAATTAAAAACTACATCCTACTGTAAGAGTTACTGAGATGTTGATGGTAAACCTAATTAAGGAAACAAACTAAAATAATTATCGTTACGAGATGAATTATTTTGCCAGATCGCTCATTTTATTTCATACTGTCTTGGAAATATTTCCTTCATGAACTAATCCATTCGAAATGATAAATAAATAAAAATCAAGAATAGTATACAAGTAACCGACAAATCCTCAATTATTTGTAGTCTTTTTCCAAGTGATATTGTATAGAATAATAACTACTACTACAACAGTGTTTCACTATTGGTTTTTAATTCCTTTTTGTTGATACATAGAACTGTAATTAATCAGCCTCTAATGCTGTATATGAATCCTAAATAGCCTTTAATCACGAGTTTAAATGTATTTTACATGTAATTAGTAATGGGATCAGAGATTGGCCTTTCGTCTTATTCGCCGATTTGCAAACTAGATCTATCTGAATATCACTGTTGATAGTTACGCTGAGATTCAAACCCTAAAGCCCAGTGAATAGCATGTTAAGCGCTTGAAATAAAAGATACTGGGCTCGAGCCTCAAATACGATTAAATGCGAGTCGTAGATTCCACTGCTAGCCATATATCAAACATACTCAAACAATAATGTTTACTGATTCTGTTGATGCATTGACTGTTAAAATGATTAAAGCGAGAGACCCAATAAATAAACAAATGTTAGACTGTAAATGAAAATAAGGTTAAAAACCTTTCAGCTCCGTAGATTGCGGAAAAAACAGAAAAGCACTCCAGCCTATCTATTCCTTTATAACTAGTAGGAAGCTTATTCATAATTATTAGACAAATAGTATTGCGTTGATTTTCTGCAACTTCTTAATACTAGATACAGCACAAGGCAATTTCAAATTACTTAGATTAGCTACCGAACAAAAACTTGTTCGATAAAATTTATTCAGTACATAGGATTGAAAAAACTAACATTCGTTAATAACGCCTATTATAATTACAGTAGAATGATACACAAGTTAAATAAATGGCTAACTAAGGGGTGAACTTAACTCATCTCGTTAAAATCGGTAGAACCACAAATAAGCTAAATACTGTTAAGGTTGCTTGCCAATGATAATTATCTACTATTTTCTTTGTTACATTATGACAACATTATATGTCTGTTAAATATTGTTAAAAATAAGAAAAATTGGTTACTATTGTAGTGAACAGAACACGGGTGGGGACAACCAAATTGTATTTAGCACAATTTACAGAGTTACTTGGTAAAATAGAAAAAGCATATAGTAAATCGTTAACTTGCAAAATATCAATCCATCATATCAAATCAAACTGTTCTTGTTGCAACTATCAATCCATTGTCTCACATTTCATTGTTCATGCGTTTTATTACAAAATGCATTGTGTTCCCGCTTTTCTTTTCTTGATCTTTCCCCATCTTCTGCTGCCAGACATTACGTTTTTAACTCGCGTTATATACTACAAACATCAATATAAGTAGCACGCACCACACTATCACAATTATTATTTCACTTTACTAAATATTATTTATTTGCCTTAAATTTTTACAGACTTACAATTGGTGCATGTTATGATCCTCAGACACATTTAACAAGACAACATTTACATGGTGATTTGACTGGTTTCACATTATTACATGAAAAAATTGAATCCCCGAATACGTTAAGATGTATTAGTCAATGCGGTGAAGCTTTACTTATTCCAAATGTTATGGAGGTAACTTTTAATTCAATCTTATTTAATTTTTAAATATTATACTTCATTTATTCTACAACCGATTAACTGATTGTAAATGTTGCAATATTTTTAGCATGATGAAAGCTTAAATTTATTCTAACATAGTTTTTTTCACTTTAGAAAAGAGGAAATTTATTAGATAATTTTCTTACTGTTCGCTATATAGATTGACCTTAATTAGACAACCACTGGAAATCAGGAAATCATGAACAGATGTTTCAATATGGTATGGAGCTCCTTACCAGTAAGAATGAACGACATCACCATCGATGATCAAACCTAGGATATTTAGGTATCGTTCCGAAACCATAACCTTAATGCCATTTACTGGACATCCGATAGTGCAATACTACAACGCAACAAACCTCTACACTGATAACTTCTTATTCTGATTTTTTAATGGTTATATTTATGAACTATATTATGAAACATAACCAAGTTTGATAATTTGGACTTTGTAATTTAATCTTGTGAAATTGGAAAAAATTAACCCTTAACATATTAGTCTTAAATTACTTGAAAAAATTATATGACACTAGCACAATACAAAAACGGATAAATCCATTAAAACTATTAAAATTTACTGGTGAACTTATTGTAAGGAGTTCAAATAGAATTAGTGACTTGCTATTGGGTGGTTTGAACAGAAAAATTACATTTATTTAATGTTGTGACTCTATGAATAAACATTGATGAATACTAATGGCACTTACTACTATATCGAATAGATCAATGCCGAAAAAGGATAACCGGACGGAGTAAGAATTTACCGTAGTGTACAACTGTAACTTTTCACTGAAGAGTATCCCCCTAGTGTTCATCGACTCATCACCTGAATTTAATTTACTACTTAAATCAATGTATATCGATTTGGCTGAGAAGAAACCAACCTTAATAAATGTGCTTTTTACACTGAACAACTTAATATCATGAATCAAATCCAAATGAAGTAAAAGTAATCGATTAATGTTAACTTCAATTTATCTAAAATTATCAGTCAGTTATTCAGTCAGACATGTACGTCAATATGAATATCATACCACGTCGAAGCATTAATAAGAGAAAACTAATAAAATTAAGCAAAAGTACTTGATTAAACACTACTTTTGAGAAAATACAAATATTTATCTGTCATTTATTCGCCTAGCTAGATGAGAGCAATATTCGAACATTTAAATAAGATCAAGAGTTGTTTTATTATATAATGTGTTGTGAGTCAGTAGAGTTAATTAATGCAAGGGTTTGTTTTCCAGTTCAAATGGTGTTACAATCTTAATTTACCGATAGACAACCAAGTTTGTATGATCTAACAACAAATTTTTAAAACCGCCAATTGTTTTAATTCCTTTCTGTATTGATTGTTTGGATCCTCCTATTGATTTTTAGGACTTCAATTTGTCAGTCTCTTATTAGCATATGTACATCAAATGTAGATTGCCTCAATTTTACCTTAAGTCACATGCAGGTACACCCAGATGATGAGTCCCAAAATAGGACAAAATACACGTCCTGGATTCCACTGCTTACCACCATCCATCTGTGCTTATTAATTATTTTACTATTCTTGTTACATTGTTATAAATTTATATATTTGTACAAATCACTTTTTTATAGGTATTATGTCCAGATATTGACATACATTTAGAGAATGATTTAATTACCGTGAGCGGACAAAACATAATGCATTTGACTGATGTACTGACTTCAATTTCTTATGCTAGACCACAACCAGGAGTTAGTGTGAATTATGTACCTAATGTGGCACAATCTCGTCTATTGAGATTATTAACATCATATAGGTAATTGAACTTTATTTGTTTTGTTTAAAGTTGCTAACTGAATAAGTTTTGGATGGATAAAACTCTTTCCAACTTCTATGTAGTTGTTTAAAGAAACTTATGACAAATCCCTTAGTCCTGGAAATAATCTCTTTCACAAAGGTTAAATCAGTGTATTGCATTCTTAAAATACTCTAAATTTTTTGTGCTTATGTTGTGGTGTGGGCTACTTATATATTCACATAAATAATATATAACGGTGGTCAGGCATAGAATGTATTTCAGCAGAAGATAGATAAGGTAAGAACGGAAACGGAACGCAATTAGTATGAAAAGGCATGAACAATGAAATCTGAGACAATGGAACAGTCAAGTTTGAGACGATGGATTGACATTTTGCAAATTAACTATGTACTATATGGTTCTCAGATTTTAGTGAGATGATCTGTAATTTTGTACTCAAATACATTTGATCGTTCCCATTGGTGTTCTTGTACACTACAGTGTAGAATGAATTAATCAAAAGTGTAAAAAACCGCATAAATTTGTCCTGTTAGCTTGAGAATATTAACAGCTTGTTCTACTCAAATCAAATGTCATTTAAACGTGGAAGTATGCGATTTCTCATTTACATGTTGATGATTATTTACGAGGAGCACGTTTCAATAGGAAAGTACAAATAAATATAGGATTTCTTTAATTTGAAAAGTCGATCCGTCATAAGACACTCAGCAGTCATATTTAAACAAGGTTTTAATTTGATTTACTTTATTAACTCAAACATATACCCCACTTCACTGACGTAGTTTATACGGCTTTTTTAACCTTCCAACCTTCTGTGAATTATTTTTTCCTTTCAATGATCTATTCATGATTTCTTTCAGTCATGAGATTAGACATAGATTATGTATTGTTATAAGTTAGGCAGAAATTCGCCATCCTGGTTCTATATTGTTTACAAGTAAACTTAATTACTAATGATAAATAGTATTATATTCGACCTAATGAGTGAATCAATGTGATGTTAAATGTTATTATGATATCCATTCAAATATTGTTTAAAATGTTGGTGTAACCAATGAGTGACTAATTTACATCTTAATTATTACATCATGATTTTTTAATTAGTGAGTTTTGACTTTATTCAGTCATGTAGTATTGTAGTGAAGGCGAACAAAAGTGGGGACAATCGAAAGTATGTGAACACAAAACTATAGAATATCTTAATAAAATCTGAGAACCATTCAGAAAATACTTCATTTGCAAAGTATCAATCAATTGTCTCAACTTGACTGTTTCTTATTTTCCACACCAATCACTTTCTGTTCTTGTTCTCTTCTCTTCAAATTTTCTAAACCTTCTGCCACTAGGTATTTCATTTTCGATTGATCATACATACTACTTATATCTGGCGACATCAGTAGCACACTCAACAGTGTAACAAATCTATCATTGAAAGTGTTCCATAGGAATAATACATTTTGTGTATATTTATTCAGAAATCTATTAGTAGTCACTAACTATATCTACAGTAAATCAAAATTGGATATAACACTTGTTAAACTTTAGAGATATTTATTTTTAAACCGTTCAACGTGTTCAATAACATGACTAGATGTGTATTAATTATAGGAATTTTTGTCAAGATTATTTACATTAAAAATGTACCCAGTCTAAATGTACGTATGTAGTGTAATTAGATCTGATATAAACTGAGTAATGCATGTTTTATTTGAACCTGTCATTTTTAGTTAAACATATGTGAAGATGGATTTAACACTAGAAACCTTGTAATTAAACAGTATCACGCTTATTGTCAATATTGGACATTCTGAACATTCTATGACAATACAAGTCAACTATGATAAACAGTACTCAAATACTCCATACCAGGATGTAATATGACCAATTGGTTTTCTAACCATTGTTAAACGAATGCAACTTAATTTGTTTAAAGATTTGTTTTGTCATATTGAAAGATACCTAGGAAATAAGTATGATAATCCATTAGTCTTTCGTATGGTATGCTTCTAGATTTTCACTGGTGCTCTAACAGTGATCAGTTGATGATTTCAAGGAAATTCAACAATTTCTACAACCCCGTACTTAAAATTACTACAGTTGAATAATTTTTCTTCAATATTATCAAAATTATTTGATAAAAATCTATTTAGAATGTAGTTCGGCTTCTAAAATTATACTGTACATTTTCTCATCACTTAGAAATCAGTTTTGCGATAAAATTGATAGGAAATAACAACTGATAAATATTCTCATGTATTATCTTAGACATTTACTGTAGATTTTTGATTGTTGCTTTGAGTTTATATTCTTTTCGGATAACTTCAAGTAACTTTCCACATGTGCATAATATAAGATTTACAGTAGCATGATGAAACTATTCCATGTTGACGACGCCAACTACCAGTTTTTTCCTGCACAACCCAAAAACGAATACTAACTGGCCTTGACCTTATAAAGATCTATATAAAATGTAACTTGTTTAATGGTTACATTGCTTAAGACTGATAAGAAAATGTTTAATGGGTCATTTCTCAGTTTGAAATTACATAGTCTGATAAAAAAAACTACTTGATCTGATTTAAATCCTAGACGAGACAGTTTTAATTAATATATATTCTCAGAAGGGCTTTGTGGAGATTTTAGAAATTTCACAGATTGAAATCATGAGTCAGTTGAAGTTAGACCACCATGGAGAACCTGGAAGCGCTGGACAGCCGTTACCAGTGGAGTTCAACCAGGTCTGTTGTGAGACATCAGCTCACTGAAGACAATGGTATACGGTGGCGCAACTTTGTGGATTGGTTGAAGTTAGACATTAACACCGTTGGATGCCGGCTCATTGGTCTAATGGTTGAGTGCTCGCGCGTGGAACCAGCAGGTCCTGGGTTCGAACCCCGCGGGGTACGGGGTCGTGGGTGTGCAGTGCTGGGGAGTCCCATACAAGGACGAGACGGCCGTCCAGTGCTCCCAGGTTTTCCATGGTGGTCTAGCTTCAACTGACTCATGATTTCAATCTGTAATATATATTCCTTTTCCCCACTGTTCAAAATAAACAATCAAGTAAATTATTTCATAATTAATGTACAAAATACCAACTAAGATTGTTGTGTACATACGCTTTAAAATATAAAGAACCTTCGCCTACGTGGTTCTTATATTATGGTCACATTACGTCATTATTTGATCTTTCTGTCAGTCTGCACACAAATATTATCGAAACAGTACAAATACTTAATGAGGAACACAAATATATCTTTTTTGACGTAACTATTTGAGATTTTTCATTTGTTTTTTATTCCACTGTTAACTAAATCAGATGCTCAGGAGACCAGTCATTTGTCATACCAACTGCGGAGATCAGGTTAAATGTTCTACCTATGACGGTTACGGACATCTTAAGAACATCTCATCATGACTTATCCGACCAAATCTCTCAATCAACCAAGGATACTTCTTTATGGGTTCCTGCTAATATGCATGTTCTTGATCGCCCAGGTCTATCTCAGGCTATAGTGGGAACAAAAGCCAATTATGATAAAAATTCAAGACCACTTCAACCTCCATCGTTAATAATTCTTGGGTCAGACATTGTAACCACTGAGCCACCTATTAATCCACCTGGAATCCCTTTATTTTCAGACCTTCGTTTTGGGCTTCCAACAGAACGAGGTAATTTAATAGGATACTGTTTTTCTTCGCACTAGTATAAAATGTCATTAATTTAGCAAAATGACAGTCTATTATAATTTATGTGGTCGTACTAAACAGCTTGACGGAACAGAGTTCACCACTTCTCTCATTTTTTTTATTCGCTTATCATTTCTTCTATATCTTTGTATGGGTTTTTTGGTGGGTCTTTTACATTCTCACGACATACAATTTCGTCAAATATTACAAAACAACTAAGTAGTGATAAGCTCATTTAGTTCAGTTGTTAATCTCTTCTTTAAAAGGAACATTTCATACTTTGTAACTCCATTTGACTAATTTCTATGTTTGGTTTAATTTTTACTTAACTGATATAAAATCTTAGAGACGTCGATCTGCCGTAATCAGATAGTTCCGGTGTTATTTATTAGAAAATATAAAGTAAATATATGATTGACTATTGGTATGGTGTATGTTACTTATTCTGCCAGATATAAGTGGTATATAGCAGTAATCAGAAGTGGAATGCCTGCCAGCAGAAGACTGAATTAAAAAGAACAGAAAGGGAAGGAGAGAGTAATTGGAATAATAACAGAATTGAAAGAATCAAGGAGTATGTAAATAATGTATTTAATGTATAATTTTCATATTTTACATAGCTACTGTTTCATTTTGCTTTAAACAATAGATTGGCTTTCTCAACCAGATCACCCGTTCATTAAATTAGGATGCTTTCATTAAATCGGAGTGAACATTGGCAAAGATCTTAAACGATATAGCACTTAATAATTAAAAGAAAGTGGAGTAAATGAGCATTTGATTTGATGATTCTTTTCATTTCTATTGTATTACACTGATATGTTAAGATCAAATCCAAACATTTCGGAAAAATGATTCACAGCTTCATTTGATTACTGTGACCTGGATTTTTTAAAATCACCTCTTAAAGTTGAAAAATGTATGCCAAAAAGTATACATTGAATGAACGACTCTTTTGCATATAGATGTTGGCAAATCATTCCATAATTGACCTTATCTATTTCCCACACAATCTACACACACACACAGTTTCAACCCCACTGCTTCACAATACAAATGCATACATTTTCATACCCACGTTCTGACGCAAAAATTAATACCGTGACAGGTCATACAAACCCACCTTGACCAACAATAACTTGACGTTGACATATTCAAACCCCTTATGATTTTGGTTGTACTAAAATATTCTGCACTGTTTCCTTTGTACTATTTGAGTTCGTGTTAATTTAATTAGGCTATTTACTTACTCTGAAGAAGTGGCTTACATTAAGTCGCGAAACGTCGGAAATAAAATTTTCCACTCATTGGTATATAACAAAAAAAACATTTTTATAACGAGAACTATCCATTTAATAGTGCAGACACACGCATTAAACAATGGAAGTTTAGTTTACTAGCAGATTGACGGTCACCGCATTAAATATAACTTATGAACAGTCCTAGAAACAGTCGTGTACGCATCGGCTGTCTTTAGTAGGATGTTGAGGCTATCAGACTCAACTATGCTTGGTCTAAAGTAGTAACCCATCGATAAATTGAGGGGGGAGATCATAGATTGGTCGAATTTAGAAATGTAAATCACTGAATCTCAACTCCTTGAATTATTTTTCGAGTGTTGGCCCCGAGACCTTCAGGTCTTGAATTTGACCTCTCGAATGGTTGCTGAAGTCCACTGTCGAAGAGTTCCAAATCATAAAGAACTAATTTTTTAGAGTTCTCTGAATTTTAACGTTTCAGCACATAAAATCATTCCATGAGTAAAAATATCTTTGAATTAAACTGTACTTTGCGAATCAGTAAAACTAAACAATTCATTTAAATCTCTGACTGCTGTCATAATGCTTAAAGTCTGAATGTATATTTACCCTTTGCTTCGATGTTTATATTTATTTTTCAGTTTCTGATTCATCGAGTTCTTCCCAGGTTGCTGCAGGTGTACCACTGGATGACTGTTTTGTATGGCTTATCTCAACTGGTAATCCGATCAGTTTAAATATAAGACCAAAATTATATGAAGAATATGGTGCACGTATTGACTGGCCTGTAGATGAAACTCAATCAAGTCAATTAATTGGTCTAGCAGATCGTACTGGGATACAACTGAGAGGACGTAAACCTGCTTTAATCTATGCTAACCTATTACAGAAATTTCGATTTTGGCCACCAAAAAATATTCGTTCAGTGCAACTAATGGATACAAATAAAGAAATAATTTATATGGCCAATATTGGCCTAATGTGTAGTTTAGACAGTGGGAAGCAAACAACACCTGAATTTGTTGTCAAAGTATGTTGAGAATTAATATTAGTCATTCGATATAATTACTATGTTTACACCGATCAGTCAATTGATAGTAATCAGTGTTATATATTTTTGCCTTTAATACTAATTAATTCAATTAATAAACTGTAATCTCAGGTTTACAGGGCGGGGAAAGTACTATAAAATAGACAATCAAATCATTCTAAGCACAATTACGATACTAAAATTCATTTTTTCCCAAAATATTTTTAACAACGTTATTTACTATTGTTTAATCAGTTATCTTGTATGAATTAGATGAGATGAAAAGGAACTTTAGTTAGCTGTACCAATTTTTTTCTAAAATTACTTCATTTTTACTTAGATTATTATTCAAGGCAAAGGGTCAGAAACAGCATCGCTTATCAATGAAGTAGGTGCATTTATTTCAAATCGATCTTTGTCATCTCGTCCAAATCCTGATGCAGTACATTATGTACTATCCGATCAAGAACGTATTGAATCTGGTGACAAATCGTTAAACCGTCTACGCCTTATTAATCCAATTGATTATGAATATGGAACTATAGATAGAAAGGTAAGATTATTTACAATCTTATATATTTGTTTGTTGGAGTTGTAATCTCTGAGACGAATAGTTTGTTTCAGCTACCATGATACTTTCAATATTCTAATCCTGAACTACAAATATTCTCGATAATCTAATACATTAATTTGTTCGCCTTATTTCACACATCTCACATTTTGATCATTTCAATAAATTCCTTTCTTTCGATCAACAGAATATTCAAAAAATGTAAACCTATCAACATACATTAACTGGATGTTGTATCTGTCTCAGTAGGAGGAATCTTACAATGAATTTTGTACTCATGAAGTTATTGATTGACTTATTTTTATTCTCATCAGCCAATCGTTAAGCAACCAGACGAATGTCATAATTTCTTGATGATTACTGACTGTCACCAGTCGGTTCTTTTAAAGTGGATGATGATGCTTTTAGTTTCAAAGTAGTCGGGTTTTAAACTGAAAAAACTCCTTGGATTGCTAATTGTAGTCATAGGAACAGCAGTTTCAGTTTGTTGATAAGTAGTTTGAAAAGTTTCACTATAAATCATTCACTAGATTCCCGTGTTCCTTCCAATTGTAGCTAATATTCTTACACACTAGAATCAGTTCATCAGACAAGAACGAATGAATAATGTATGCGGTCGTTTGCTATGAATCATAAGTTTAAAATATGAGAAATCTTAGTTTTTTGAGCAGCATTTTTAAGTCAATTTTTTACAGATAATCGAATAACATAGGTGAATAAAAGTTTTTGATTCACTTAATGCAGCCTGTTTGAATATATGAATATATCTGTTCCTTCCATCTGGATATTTCAGCAAGTTATTTTTCTTGTAATCGACATATCATTATGTCAATTAGTCTCATAACCTATTCAAGTACGTTTGTGAAAAATTTACAACATTTCGTTGTACAAGTTACAAAAAAGCCCAAACAGAGAGACCGTGGTCACTGGCAATATACATCAAAAAGAATATACATAATCCAGATGTTGATTTTTGAACTGCTAACTTCTAACTGACGACCACTCGATATGTTATAGTCAAGATCGATCAAGCAATAAGAAACGGAAACTTGTTGAAATGCTTTGCGCTGAGAATTGTATATTGTACCAAAAATATAATACTGAATAAAGCTAATAATAATAATAAAATTATCTGTAACGCTTATTCAACAGTACTGAGAAACTGATTTTCTATTTCAAAATTAAAACATAACAGTATGTTTAACATAGTTATCATTATCAACTTTTATTTAGGTTACTGAATCTTCACAGTCCCATACTGGAACGAAACGGTCATCCAGTGCTTCCAGATATTCAATAGTGGTCTAACTTAGGTCGACTCGTGAATTTAACTATGAAAAATTAGATTAGTTGAATGAATCATTTCCCAGAAGATAATTAACATAAACTTTTTAATCTTTTGAACTTATATTTATTTTTCTTCATTAAATTAATCTGATTATAGATAGCTGTAAAACGCAACCACATAGCCTGATTTAATTACTGAGCATAATGTTTAATAGAATTTAGCATTCTAGCCAATATAAGAGCATGCTGAACGGAGGATAGGAATTATCAAAGCAAAACATAGCGTCAAACCATAAAGTATTCAACAACTTTCCTAGGTCGTTTCAAGAGGTATAGATTTCTTGATTCAAACACTCGAGATAATCTCACTAATTCTTCCTATCTGTCTCTCCTGATCGCCTCTAATATGAACTGCGGAAACTTTTTCGGGTACATATCTATCCCGAATTTATAAATGACTGACTAGTTGTGAAGTCAGCTGACATTCAAGCTTGAAGTATTATTCCACAATGAAATATTTCACTGTAAGCTTACTTATGTCACAACGTTTTTGAATTTGATTTCATGATAAAGCTTTTGATTTATAAAAGTTGATTGTTGGCCCCGCTAAGAATCGCTTATGAAGTTCTATACCTTAAAGGACTTTTTTATTTGAAACAATAAACCACAAATTTGTTTATAAAAATACACCCCGTTTTATCAAGGGATTTCAATTTTATTACCCATGTCAATAAACATAGTCTGTGATTTCAACATATTTAATCGGTTATCTTCACTAATTACACGATAAATCGACAATGAACCCTCAAAACAAATTAATTAAAACTTTAAACTACTGAAAAAGTTTCAAAATGGTAGTCTATAAATATTTACCATTTTTTACTCTGCTTCTTTAATATCAAGCTTTTCAGATTCATTAAATTAAAATTTGTTTTATTTCTATCTCCACGACAAAACTTTAGCCTCAGTACAGTTATACTGGATTAGTTATTGGTTTATCAGTTTCTGCTATCATATTAGGGGTATTAATTGGTACAGCTATTTGGTATATACGAAAAAATAAACCACAACATCATAAGAAACCAACGCGTCGTAGGAGATTTGCATCACAACCTGCTGATTTTGGTGGTTCTAATTTAAAAACAGATCCAACTCTTAGACTTACAACTAATCCCGTAAATGATTTACAGGTTAGTTTATGAATTGATGTTTAATTATGTGATAGAGAAAGAATTTGTGGAGTTTTGTAAGAAAAAAACACGAGACATTTATAATCAGTATTGATTATTATCATATTTGTACAAATTTATTCCAAGTGATAATGCCCCTGCTTCAGGAAACATTTATGCATATGAGACCTACTGAGTACTTGCTTAATCCACTTATATTCACGTTAAATCAACACATTTTTGGACAGATTTACGAAAGATCATTAAGTATGGACATTGCAAAAAACATTGTGCAGTATAGCTCGTGGTTTGTAATTTCCCGTTTTTGAAATTTCTGAATAAATTTGATATGTATCTATTACCGTATATATTAACTAGGCTGATTGTCTAGAAATCGTCTCTGTAACTAAAACTTGAGGGATACCTGAACTTTGTAGCTTAGCCGATAACTCTATAGTGTTAGGAAGGCAAACTTAGGTACGTTGAATAAAATTCAAGGAGTGATTCCAGTTATCAATCTTCGTATAAAATTATTTTGTAAAGAAGATATTTTATATAGTACACAGAAAGTTTACAAATAAAAAGAAAATTTTTTAATGTAATCATCATATATAGTGGGAATTACATAATGTGAAGATAAATATTAGTAAATCCTTTGTACTATTTATGTTAAATATTGTATAAGATAAGTAAATCAGTGAGCTTTTGTTTTACTTATTGCTTATTCACAACAAACGATTAGATAAACCAGTTTATTATTTATTCACTGAATGTTAGGCATTTGACTTGAGTACAACTGTTAAAATAGAGATTACCAATATAGTGTATGAGTTTCTTTAATTGTTATTTCATGAACTTATTTCGTTCAATTTATAAGTCCTTTGAATTAGTTATAGCCTTATACACAGATGAATCACTTTCTGGGATGAAAAATAACGGTATTAGGATAGAAGGAATGGTAATAAACCTCATAAAAAATCCATGTGGTTTGTGAAATGATTAAGTTTTTTTTATATTCCTAGTGTACTATCCTTGATTTATACTAACTATCTAATCATCAAATAACAAGGAGCATAAAAATCCCAAGGCCATGTCGATATCGTTCAAGGTCATTGTTTGCAAAAAGTTTCATTTCATATCCAATATTGAATAAATCGTCAAAAACAAAGATTTATACGTGATAACTAATTTCGCATTAACTACTCACTAAGCAATCAGTACTTAACACTGCAATTCATCTTCCAATTTATAATTTGAGTAGATTTTAGGAATTTATTTCATTGTTATTACATTCATTGGTCTACTAGACTGTAATAATACATCCCACTCATGTCATTATTTATTCGTTCTTTTTCTTTCAAAAAGTTGATGAGTATGAAAATTAAATCTATGCATGGAATAGATTATTCACTACATTCAACACCTACACGAAATCATTGTATTTATTCCCCACCATTGACAACACAACGAGTTAATCCATTTAATAATACATCATGTGATGAATTATCTGGTTCCATGTATTCACTTCCAAATCAAACACCAAGGCTAGCTGATCTTGAAGAGTTTGAAGATGAAAATTATGAATATGACGATGAATTGGGTAGTGTAGATCAAATTCACAATCCTAAATATTGGATTACTGGACAAATATTAAAAAATAATTCTACTAAAACTTCAATTATAAAACCACATGTTGATCAAGAACAAATAGAAAATTTAAAATCTTTTTGTCCAAATAATTCTCTAATAAAATCAGATCGTTATGAATGGATTGATAATGAGTTGGATACAAATTGGCATGAAAAGATTCATGAGAATCATAAACATGAATCAAAATCCACCGAATTATTTACTCAAACAGGTCAATTAAATCAGAATAAAAATATGAATCAAACTGTTCATGTGTAAAAAAAAAACAATTTAATTTTCTTCAAGAAATGACATATTCCTCACTTGAATGTGTATTCTCAGCTTTCATTATAGTAAGTCTGTATGTCCATACAGTTACTTTTACAAATACCATTGTAAAAAAAAAATTTATACGCTGATTTATACGAGCCTATGGACAAATACTAGAAATCATTTATCTATGCATCCATGCTAATATACAAAAAGACATCCATATAAATATGATACATTTTTTCCCACTGTCTTACTGTCCAAAATATTAACCCTTCCTAGTAGTTATGTAACTTTATACACTAACACCTATACATGCTAACAATAGTGATTGTTCCATTCTTTTCTCTGTTATGCTTTTTGTTCTTTTCATTTCTTCCACTATATTTCATTTGCTACCTTATTTACCTAGTCATATGCTTAGACATTATAAATAACTATTTTACTTTTAAATACAATTTCATTTATGCAAGTAGTTACATATACAGTTTTTTTGTTTTCTTTCATTTAAATAAACAATAAACCTTGTTCAGTTCTATATTTAAAGACGAATTAAACTGATCTATATAGTGGATATCATTTTGCAAACAATTTCATTTTAACTATTATGGGGTAAAATGTATTTCTATGGCCTCTATGTGCCACTATTTGCCACTATTTTATTTTATATTAATAATATAAATAAAAATTATTTAGCAATGTTATTTCAAAATATACACTCATTGTCTACTTATTATGATACATTTTTTTCCCTTGGTTTTTACTACAGTAACAGAGAACAAATAGAGAGTATGTTATATAGTTCATGAATATTGTTTTAGAAAAATTAAACCAAGTTTTTTTTTGCCAAATAAATCTCTTATTTAATATTTTCACCAATATTCTATTTAAAAAGTATTCATGAGTGTTTTTTTTTCTCAGTCAGGTTCTTTTTTTCGGTGGATACAATTGTTAACCCCACCTCTAACCATTCTTTTTGGGTTGGAAACGGACAATGTCTGTGGAAGGGCTCCAGGACAGGTTAAAAAGTATATAGACTATGTAGATTATGTACAGTCCCGGAGTGGACATCAGTGGACATCCAGCTGACGAGTTCCGAATAGGATGAAACGCGCGTCCTGGATTCCACTGCTAGCCATTATCCATCTTTACTTAAAAAGCTTGTGACTTAATGCTATATCAAGGCAATGCGCACAGGATGCACTTATGCCAACTAGAGACTGATCAATTGCAGTCCTAAATAACAATGGGAAGATACAACTAAAACAACACCAAGTGAATTTATTTAGAATATGATTCAAGAATCTTGCTAGAAAGAATAACAAATGACAGTCTTTCTTAAATCGCAATTTATCATTATGCAGAATAACTGAAGTTTTTTTCCAGTATTTTAGTTACATATTACTCTTTGGAGCAACATAATTATTTGTTTAATCACATTTTAAAAGTTTCCATTTCTTTCTTGGTTTAGATTGCATTTTTAGGACAGAGAAATAGTTTACATCATGGATTAACTTTTTACACTGTGTTCATTCATTACTAAAATATAATGAACCAAAACCATGAACTTCCTGTTGTTATAGTGACTACAAGATCATTCAACTACCTAAATTATATAAATATTTATCATTATATACTACTCATGTGTTTTATGATTTTTCACCACACTGACAACAATATATTCACCTAAATATTTTACATTCATTCTACGATAAAATAAAGAAATTTGAATTAAAATATTCAAGTGATTGAATCATAAACCAACCATTTGGTTATCATCACCCTGGTTGAAATTAATTTCTTTAATTCTAATTTAATATGACAATCTATACATGATTAGTTGGTAATAGGTGACTTACTTCTTATCTGTGACGTGTACCATGCATTCAGATATAAAATCGCTTATTTCAGTAAACGAATCCTACTGGACATGAATTAGTTACTATATAATTAGTTAGATGTTATCAAAGATATTAATGGCTTTATGAATAGTCAGCGAATAAACATAAAATGATTTATATCAAACGACTATCACAGTTAAAATATGAATGCAATTTCGAAGTATTGATAGGTTGTATTCAAACATTTAGGTTGACAATGTTCGAAATACAATTTTTACAAATTTCAAATCTCGATACCAAAAGTGTTCTATGAATTTTGCCAATTACAATAGAAAAAAAAACAACTTCATTATAAACGACAGAAAAGTTTTACCAATGCCTTATTTCTGTAAGAAATAATATTGTGTTGATCTATAGGTTACACTAATCAATTTTCAACCGTTTTTCTACATCTTTTGTGATGACAAGATTTTTTATGAATGGCTTTTCTCATAGTATTCACTGACTGCATCTTGTCAATCGAATATTCTTAGAACTAGCCAAGATTCCACACATTTGTGATGTTATTACATTCTCCAGAGTACATTGGGACATTTTCTGTTTTGTTTATTTTTGTATCAACTAATTTGACTACTACAAATTATATCGAATGTTCATTTGGTATTATTTGGGTTGTATGTTCCCATTAAGGTTTAAGACTACAATTGATCAGTCTGTTATTGGCACATGTGCATATGTGTGTATGCCTCGATATTGCCTTAATCCACGAGCTTTTTGTAAGCAATGATGGATAGTGGCTAGCAGTGGAATCCAGGACGCTCGTTTCGTCCTAGTTGAGACTCGTCAGCTGTATGTACCTGCATCTGAGTTGATGTTCACTCTGGGACTCGAATCCAGTACCATTCGCTTCAAACGCCATCGCGTTATCCACTCAGCTACTGAGTCCTGATATTATTATTTAAGTTACTCAGTAGTAGGCAAATGTCTAATACACAATTTAATGTTCATAAAGAAATAATTTTGAAAACATATTTTTTTTGTAAAAAATCAAACACAATCAGTTTGAATATCTGAATATATTCTTTAAGAAACTTAAGCACCATAACCTGTGAAGATATTTATTTATGAAATAGATACTAACTAACGTGATTTCAAGTAGTTATATGATAGAATACAATTAAGAAAATGTGAACCAAGGAGAGCCTTAGTACCAATGCCATCAAACACTGTAGCATCACATATCTCAAATACTGTTACTCTTTATTGTCTATCTCTCACTACTGGTGACTGCATAAACCCTGGTAGGACGTTCGCACATAACAAAAACAGAAGAAAGCCTTAGACCACTTCTAGAAATACTTCACTATCACTACATTCCTTAAGGAAAGAGTACATATAGAATTTATAAACATTTTCGGCAACTTAAAATCGCGCATCGACTTAGGACTGAAAATTCATAGATCAAACTAAAGGCCAACTCACTAGAAGGATATGAAATTTATTTTCATAATACAGCGTTATAATAAAAATTAAAAGTGTAATGAATTCATTGAAAGAAGTAAGAGTCTATAAATACATTTTAACTGATTTATTTAAATAGAAGAAAATATCTTTACGCTTGGTTCATACTATGTTTTCAACTTAATGTTGGTGACTCAAATCTTTTGCAAACATCGCCGTCAACCGTGCTTTCAAATAAAGCCATAGCTAGACTATCCTGTTAACCTAGTTTTTGTGTGGTTTCTCAGGTAAGAAAGTTTAAAGTGAATTTTTTACCAAGTTAGGGAAACAATGATAACTCAGCAATGTATGACTTGCGGTATTATTATTGGTCAGTTCAAAACCTGTCAGTTTTCTGAAGCATTCACCATGAAGCCTTAAAGTCTTATGTCCATTCCCTGATGTATTCGTAGGCAACTGTTTCTAAGGAGATCCATACTCGGGTAAAATATATATCTAGTGCTTAACCAAAGTCAAACCTTGATGTACCACTTTAAATCTTTCAATCTCCACAACATCTTTAATAACTATTTACAAATCTTAATAGTTGAGATCATGAGTCAAATGAAGCTAGACCATCATGGAAAACCTGGAAGCACTGGACTAATCATTTGCAAATTATCTGTCTACACCCATACAAGCAAACTTAGCACCATATCGCTAAATCCATGTAAGTACAACTGAGAGAATTATAATTTTAACTAGTTTCAGAGAAATCTAACGATTTATTGAACTAGGAAAATAACGCCGTAAAATCGATAGATGATTGAGTAGACATTTTACAGGAATAGTTTGTCTACTCATTAGTAGCCAAAGTGTATTTGTAAAATTTTAAGGTTCAATTTTCACGCGAATCACTTTAAAAAAATTACCTACATTTTGATGTTTGAGCATAAACGTTGTTTCTCCCATTAATGCATTTATCAAAAGTTTTCTGTGACAGAGAACACCCACAATACTTCCATGTCTTCTTGACACTGTCTTTGGTGATCTAAAAGTTGATATTGTGCATCTTCTGTTAGTATAGGAGACTTGTGGAGTTTTCATAGTTTGAATCACGAAATATTATTAATTAGATCAAAACTTAAAACCTAGAAGCTCTGTAAGGTCGTTTATTTCTATTTTAAAACCCGTCAATAATAAGTCATATTGTCAAAATTCTATAATCTTCACAAATCCCACTCAGTTATTGTACTTATATGCTCACTGGTGACTAGCTTCACGATATAACTTCTGGAGTTTTAGTGAGAAATGAAGTGACCAGTGGAGTTCATTCCATATCGGTTGTGAGCTAGTTTTCACTAGAAGCAATGTATAGGGGTTTCGCAATACTGTGGATCGTGGTTGTGCACTGCTGAAGAGTTCCATATTAGAACGAAACGGTCGTCCAGTGCTTTCAGGTTTTCTATAGTAGTCTAGCTCAGATTGACTGATAAATTTGACTGTTAAAATACTACAATTTCCACAAATCCCTGTACTGAGAAGTAGCAAAGCATTTACATATTACATTTACATAGCCTTCGATAGTCCAATTGTATCTTTCTGTACGTTCTGCCATCTGAACTGTATTGTTTTCTGGTCTCTAAGTGTTCTGCCAACGCCGTGTTTTCTATGCACTGAACTTTTACTCCATCTGACAATTGTTATAACTTCAATACCACGTTCCTCTACACACTACTCACAAACATCCTTATAATTAGCGTCCACTACACTAATACCATTACGATTACCATCAATACAAAAATAAAACAAAATTATAAGTTTGTATTCTGTCTTGATGGTAAAATGGTGAATAAATAGTTCATGTTCATCAATTTTAAATAACTAAGTCATAAATTTATATAGGGTCACTCTATTCTAGTGATAATAATGCAGCGGAATTATTGTTGTGAACTGCATTTTGAGTTTAATTCACAAATCAGTACATGTTAGAAACTTGAGGACAGTCTGTAGAAAATAGTGAAATTAGGTATCCTGTTAACTGAGAACTTGTCAGCACTCCTAAAGGAAGTGGTGTTTTCAGTTAGATGCAAATCTGTATGACCTATTTTGGAAGTTGTTATTTGCTTATCTAGTTAATATCATTGGAATCGTAATCGGGTTGAAAATATTGGTTCTGAAAATCAATTTTGCACTGTGTTCAATGAATAACCGTGATATCCGTCAGAATTACTTGACGCCCATTGATTTCTATAGATCAAAGGTGGAATGTAGTCATACTGGTTTAAGTGACTAAAAAATGCACAGGAGTAACAGCTACCTCAAAATGATAGCTATGTCTTGCCGACAAGTAACAGTTGGCGTGAAATGTGGATTTGAGAGCTCCTGTTGACTGTTTCCAACCACCTAATATCAAAATAAGAGCGGAAACACATCAATATGTTAAGTCAGTTCGACTAGTAGCTAAGCTTCAACTGAAGACAAACAATCTTTCCAACACTCAAGACTATAAGACATGACATTATTTACGATTATCAAATAGCTGGTTATTATTAACTAAAACATGTTCATATAAGACAATCGGCCTCATTCTTTTTGCTTGAAATAGATAAATGTTAGCCAATAGTGGAATGCAAAACAAGAGTTTCGTCCTACTTGGGAGACGTCGACTGGATGCATGTCCATACGTTTTTATGTTCACCGTGGGACACTAATCCAGCACCTTTCACTTCAAACTCCAACGTCTCGTCTACTAAGCTACTGAATACAGATGCCTGTTTGCTTGTTCGAGGGGTGTTATTTTTATATCATTAATAATGACGGTTTGAATTATCCTGACGGTGGTTAGCCGGTACATCTAGCTGACGACTTCTTAAAGTAGACGAAAAGTGCTTCCAACAATCCACCGCTAGCTCAGTTCCATCTCTTTCAAGCCAATTTTAGAGTAATCGCAATAATGAGACAGTCCATACAGGTTGCACATTTCCCTACAAAGACTGATTAAAATTCGGTTAGGAATATCAATAACGAGAATATTCAAGCTTACTGATGTAACCATCCTTCTTAAATTAGTTAATCCCCATTACCTTTAGTTTTTTTAAAACATTGTAGAATTTAACTCGTTCTATAAATTTTTGGTATCATTCCTACTCAATGAAACCAACAGCAAAAATCAAAATGAATATATTGATAACCCCGTATTTATTAAACTTAACCATGTTACTGATTTAGAGTATTTAAGTAGTAGATATTCTTTAATAAAAATATTATTGATCTAAGGTGAATTGAAATATATAATTGAAGTTCAAACTTAGTACTCAGAAATATTATTAATTTTATGAAATATAAATATTAGTTTTGATCTGGACGGTCTTTTGACAAAGTAGCCAATAGCCATTCAACAATTTCTTGATAAC